CGGTGGGGGAGTGGAAGAATCAATAACTAATTTCAGTGCTGAGCTCACTGTGGACGGTTTCCCAATAAGGCTGGGATAGAAGACCAAAGTTTGAATAGTTGTCCATCTCTCTGTCTCTCAGTGCACCTCTCTCTCTACCCTCATCTCTTTGTCTGTCTTTTCCCCCCCTGTCCGCTTCCTTCTCTGTAGTCTCATGGGTGGGCAACACCCCCATCTGTCTGTGTCCAAGGCTAATGATGTGGAGGCTTGGGCAGATTTACACCAGCCGATAGGGTCACTACTAAGCCAAGATGTGAAGTCATTCTTAAAGAATGAATGGCACATACTGTACTATTAGCCAATGTTAATGTTACAGGAAATATAGTTGCATTACCAGTAGAGGTATAGAAATGCGACACAGGCAACTAACTACTCTGCAGCCCTGAAAACATGACCTAAAGGTGACAGAGTGCCAAATGGTTAGGGTTAACTTAGTGGCAGAGTTTTAAAAATGGTCAGAAGCATCAGAGACTTGAATATTTTGACTTTTAATCCCCAGTATGGGTCAAGTTACATAAGCATTGGGTTCTACAGTTGCCATTATGCAGTTGGGTAACATATTTTCGAGAAAAATGTTTTACATTTCCAACTAGACTTGTCAGCAAAGCAAGAGGCACTGTCCCTACCTCCACACAGTGCAGTAAGGATGCTGCTGTGATCTTAATGCCATCATTTCTTATCTAAAGCCAGACATATTATACATCATCAAATTCAGGTAATTCTCTATTTTTCCAAGACAAAGTCTGGAAGAAAGGCACCACCCCATTGTCAAAAATCACCTCATATAGGACATCAATCATAGGAATGAATTTATTTGAAATGGACTGAGAGAACTGCTGATGCGTTTTGGTATGGAGCCTTCTTCAGAGCTCTTACTCCCACAGTGAAGACATCTTGCTGCTTTGATGATTAAACAACTCATGCATTTTGATTATCTTGACATATGAAGAGCCTCTATTCTTTAATAATGCTAGGATCACAGCAACCAGCTTGACATATCAGTAGCCTAGTGTTTATGATTTAGACTGAATGGAAAAGTAGAAAAGAGCCATGCTTTACTTTGAATATTAATATCAAATATTTTGTCATAGGAATGCATTTTTATACTTAATAATAATTTAAGTGTTACTTCCTTGTAGATTAGACTATAATGGCTATGATTGCATACTCAGAATACTTCTTGATTTTTGTATTTAAGCTAGACTTCTTTTCATTTTTAGTTTTACCTCTGTTAAGATGTTGTTAATGCAAGACAAATGAGGGATGTATTATGTTTTTCACACAATATTGCAATAGCTTAGGTTAAATTTGAAAACTAGGAGTTTAATCCTGTCATGGAATTATTATATTGACATGAGTCAAAATGCCATGAAGCCTCATTCAGAAACCATAATGTTCTGTAAGCAGTGATCGTGCTAAATGTCCTAACAACAATGAGCTGTGTCTTTTCTTTGTCAAGACAAGTGTAACGCCTTGTACCACACTGTGTGGACTCAAAAGCAAGGGTCACACTCAGAGCAGGTGAAGTAAAAATGGCATTTACTTAGTAAAAAATATTTACACTGATCAGCCATAACATTATGACCACTGACAGATTAAGTTAATAACAATGACTATTTCATTACAATGGCACCTGTCAGTGTGTGGGGTATATTAGGCATAAAGTTGATGTGTTGGAAGCAGAAAAAACAGGCAGGCGTAAGGATCTGAGTGACTTTGACAAGGGTCAAACTGTGATGGTGAGTTGACTGGATCAGAGCATGTCCAAGACTACAGGTGTTGTTGGGAGTTCCTGGTCTGCAGTGGTTATGTGAACTGCTATTATAACCTGGTTTGGTACTGAACTGAATGCAGCTTGTACTAACACCAGACTGAAAGTACTACTGAAGTGAAGACAGAATCGGTACTGAACAACTATATGGACAGTATAATGTGTTCATCTGCTGTTGTACATGCTGATGTACATTTGAATGGTGATGCCAACACTTGGGAAAGAAAAAGAATGATCTACATACATGTTACATGCTGAAGCCCTAGTTGTTGATATCACCAGAGTTTACATGTGTGTGTGTGTTTGTAAGGGTGAGTGGGAAATAAAGTTCTTTGACTGTGCATCAATCAGTGCATAGAAAAGTGCCACTGACATTCAGCTGACAGTTTAGCCATGATGTCTAGTATGTCACTTCGTGGTCATGAGCCTAATGTATTTATTGTAACTTAACAAAGCAATCATGATGCAGTAAGTAATGGTGCAGTTAGATGGTCACTGAGGTCCGAAAGTTTGAATAAGGGTCTGGGCTCACAGAACAAATTGAACCTAAAATCAGACTGAATTTTATAAGAATCCAAGACTGGCCTGAAGACTTCCTCAAGCATCATCTTGAGGCCTCAGTGCAGTTCAGACAAAGTGTTTGTTGGATTGCCTAACAACCCCTGCAACACCCTTTCTAATGACAGAATCGGGTAGGGCTGTGTCCAGCAATTTCTGTGTCTCTGAAACAATCTGACATTTGTGTACTTAGACTGGTAAAGATTTCTCAAAATTTCAGATGTTTCAACTCCATGGAAACATCAGAAAAGACACTGTAGCAAGCAGCACATCTACACACAACAGCTTTACAGTGTATCACTTTAACTACATTGATAATTTCACAAAATAATGGCAACTCAAGGTCTATGTACTAGCTTTTTTTTTTTTTTTTTGGAGCTTTCAATTGCATCTCATTCATCAGCCATTAGAATTTGTTCAGTTGTCATGGAAACATAGTCCATAAAGCATGTTCACTTTGTAAACCTACACTACAGGTGTAAAGTGGTGATACTGTACATTTATATTACCTTGCTGAAAATGGTAGACGCTTAATATTATTGACTTATGTACTGCGTTTTATTAGGATTGAAAAACTTGGAAAGCATGTATAATGTAAAAATCGTTGGATTTTATCATGTGCATGTGTCTCTGAATACAGGAGTTGAGCTGGTACTCTGGCAACTGATAGTGTGTCTACAGAAGAACTAGGTCTGGTCTCATTTTCAGATTATATTATATCTTATTTTATAGTGGTAGCCCTACTATTGGGATAAATTGACAGCAGTTAAGACCATAATGTAATCAACCAGAATAAAACAGTGAATGCACACGTACTGAACTGGTGGCTTTGCGGTAAGAACGATAGTAAACTGTTGACATACACAAACCAACAGAGGATGGAAGTCCTCATTCTTACCTCTACACTGCACTGCCCTCCTGTGGTTAATTTACAGTACTGCAGCCCCAGTGTAATAATCCATTACGCAAGTGCACCTCTTTGCAATGATGACAATATCTACAATAGTGCACAGAAAGATTTAACACAAGCATTTTGTCAGTATCAAGCAGTTTAACAACCCTTACACTAACTTGTTGTTGGTATTACCACAAGGTTAGTCATTTCTGTGCAGATTCTCAGTCATCCAGGTCATAGTAAGCTGAAAAAAAATCAACTGGACTAAATTTCTAGGTCGAAGACGTTTCACCTCTCATCCAAGAGGCTTCATCAGTTCTGACTGACTGGTGTTGAGCCAGAGATATTTATCCCCCTCGGTGGTGTTTCAGTCCTTTGAAGGCCAACAATGTGCCCTAACAACTGAGTCGTTATAGCTCTGTTTATGTCTGGGTGTTTTGACCTTCGGGTGGACCAGTCTCTGCCACAGGGTGTTCCCTGGTTTAAAGTTAACTGGGATATTGTGGTTGCAAAAGATCCTTTTTAACTTCTCTGATAAACCAGCCACATAAGGGATGACAGTGTGGACTGCACAATCCAGAAAGGCCAGACAGTCATCTCTGGCATCCTCATGAGTGAATTTGATGTTGTCATCCACAGAGTTGATATGCTTGGTGAAAGCCTCTACATCCTGGGTCCTGATTTTAATCCATATGTCATCCATGTAGCGGAACCAGTGGCTGGGAGCGGTACCAGGGAAGGAAGACAGGGCTTTCTCCTCAATTTCTTCCATGTACAGGTTGGCAACTATAGGAGACACTGGGGAGCCCATAGCACAGCCATGTTGCTGCCTATAGAGGTTAGTCAGATTCCCATTCCATATTTCAACCCAGCTGTTGGTGTTATTGCACCATTTCATTGTTTGCCAACCTCCATCTAACATCAGAGTAAGAAGCACCACATGAGCAACTTTCAGTAGGAAGAATGGGCCCCATCATTCTACATTTTCTCAAAAATAGGTGGCCCGAATTTTCTGTTGGTGACACCTCAAAAATCCTCATCAAACGTTCTAACTTCCACAACCAGAAGGTACTTTCCTGGTTTCTCATCTTTATACACAATTTCACATCACACATTAACTTTATCTGGAGCAACAGGAACATCACTTAGAAAAACAACAAGTTTAATAATACCAGCATTTTAGTTGGTACACATGTAAAATATGCTTCCCAGTCAATCATCACAACAATGAAAGAACTGGTGCACTCTTTCAACAACTTATTGTCACTTATTGTCACCTCATGTGCTATCATACTGGGATGATATTGTTAGAAACATACCTTGGAAAATATATATATATATTATTATTATTATTATAAATATATACAGATATATTTTAACTAATAA